ACCTGCAGCTCTAAAGCTAAACTAAGCTGAAATACACAAGCATCTCTTCCGGCTTTAGGTACGTAATCAAAACAACATATTTCCCAATGTGTCCAACTATTCCTTCCTAAATTATGCATCAGATGTACTGCGTGGTGGAGGGGGGGACTGAATTAGAAAAGCAAATTAAACAAATTTCTTGTAAATGTTCTGACATGATACTATGATGAAAATGTGATGAAATATCCAAGTCTTTTCACAGCACATTTATCTCTCCAGTTCTTCTACCTTACATAAGTGCCGTCAAAGGAGGCACATCCAAGTTTCACTCTTCACGTACATTAAATATAAAATCTCAACAAGATCTGGAGAGTAACTGCAGCCAGAGAAAAAGCACCGACAAAGCCGCAGAGTCAAAGGTCACACATGTGCTGTGTTAGCTGTTAGGTACATCATTAGAATTAGAATAACTTTAATAATCCCCGCAGGGAGAATTGCTTCGCAACAGTCGCTCGATAAGAGCATCTGGGCTCACAATGTCAGAGGATCAGCATCCCTGACGGCGGAAAGAACAACACACAAGAACTGTACTGTGTGTGTCTGCGCGAGACAAAAACAGAGCAGATACCAAACAGAAGAGCACAAAGACACGCCTGTGTGGCATCAAACACAGACTGAACTCAATACGGGCGAGAGAGGAGCATATTGCACCTCAATGTGTGAGGGATTTGTTACTTTGAAGTATTTTTCTGTGAAATGCGGCTGACACACATTGTTGAGTGGTTGGGGGTTTGCTGCTGCTGCAATCGGCCTTTGTTTCTCAGTCACTGAGCAGAATAATGAGATGAGATTGTCTCTTTCCTGCTCCTCTTCTCTTCAGTCACTTTCCACAGTCACACTATATTTTGCTGGCCTCAGTTTTCCCCTACTTACCATCTTAGCTGTGCATCCTTTCCGTTCTGTTTGCTGTCAATTTTGGGTTTATTTCCCAAAACTTTGAAAACCACTAAAAAAGGGCAGATAAGTTCCTTGATGTCTACAATTTATGGTTACAAATGTAGTTTTCCAGTAATAATTGTCTATGAATTTAATGCAGCACTTAAACAGCAACATAGATTAGTTTAGGGTGACCAAACATCCTGATGTCCCAGCACATGTCCTGTTTTCACTTCCTGTCCTGGTTGTTTTTTTATAAAGTGATGAAAATGTCCTGGTTTTAAATGCATTGGAATTATAAGGCAACTTCCAGTAAACTTCAAGTATCATTTGAGTATCTCATGCCGGGGCGAGTGTCCTAGTTTTCCATAAACAAAATATGGTCACCCTAGCTTAGTTTAGTTTAAGGCGTAACAGGTCTGTCCAGCTTGGGTTTCTCAACAAGTTGACAGTTTGGAAGGTCCCATCTTATTTGAATCTTTCCCAAACCAATGCACAAAATATGTTCTCACGCAGATTTTTAGAAAACAAAGCCTTATTCATGATTACTTCTTACACCAGGAGTTTCAGGCTAACGTCAGCATTAGCAGCCACCCTGCATTGTTACCTGAGATACCGTTAGAACCCAACCAAACCTTATCACAACTCCGTCTACAACACCATTTAAATACAACTCTAACTCCCACACGGCACATCACATGTATTCAGTCCAAACAAAAAAATATTGGACAAAGTGGTGCTCTTTGTCGAGCAAACAGCTTTAATAAATGGGACACAAATATAAGAAAACACTCCCAGAGCAAAGCATCTGCCTATAAAACATAATCAAAAATGGCCTTCAGTAAATGATGGCCTCGAATTAGCAGATCCACCCTTTCTCCACAAAATTATGTTCTGATGTGCTGTGAAAGAAACAAACATATTTTTACATGTTAGATGGAAGGTGTCCAGTTAGGAGGGAAGGGTGGCGTCACAAATTGCAACGTGACTTGGTCAGGTTTATGGAACTATCATGATTTAAGTCCAAATATAACCTATTGAGTACATTTTTAAAGATGTTCCTCTGTTTCCTAGTTTGCCAGGGTGACGACTCAGGCCTCATATAATATATGAGAGGTTGGCTGAAAAGAAGCTACAGTAAAGCTATGAAACAAATGACAAAGATAAGTTGATTTAAAAATGCATATGTGAATCCAGAATGCAGTTTAATTGTATAGAAATGTAATTTTGTGAATACAGGGTTGTGGCTGATATTATGGCTGAATATTAAGTATTAATTTTGCTGAACAAATCTTCGACTTTTAAGCCTTTTAAAATTGTTTTAAATGTAAGTTTTAGAAGTTGCTTTTGTACTGAACAGGATTGTACTCAATTTTGTAGTAATTTTGTACAATGACATGATAGATTTTGGTTCTGATTCTTTCTTGGAATGTGAAAAGAGAAAAACCTTTCAGAATTAAAGCACATACATAAGGCAAGTATCTATAGAGAATTGTTGTTGCTTGTCATACTTGTAGTTGATGATAATTGGTAATTTTGTCAACATTTGTCTCCATGAAGGTACCAAAATGACTCAGAGCTTTAATGGCCTTCATCATTACGGTAGCTCGTCAACAGATTATTTCTCTGTCCTTCAAACCTCTGCAGTTTCTGATGCTCTTCTGCTATGATCAGCAATCACGTCTCTATTGTGTCGATGAACGCTACACGTTCATGTGCCGAGCTGTCATTCCTCATCTCTGTCACCACGTCCTTATCTGTCTGCAGTGATAAGATGATGTGTGCGTCCACAGTTCCATAGACATGTTTACACTTCTGTCCCTTAAGTGTGCCTGTGCATTGGGAAGACGAGGATTTATGTGTGTTTGTGTGTGTGCGACATATTTATGTGTGTTTGTGTGTTTTCGTGGCGCAGCCTTGAGGCCCGACCTCCAGCTTCACCCTGCTGCTGTCACTCAGCATCCAGCGAACCCTAATTCACTGCGTGCGTGTAGCTTTTATGCTGTGAACCAGTCGACTTGTCATCCCAGTACAAGTTATGTCATCATCGGCACTGGTTTTAATGTCATCATCCTTTTACCTCCCGCAGCTGAAATACGATTACTATGTACAGAAAGGCGAGCTGTCAATATCTGTCAGCATTATAATGGTCGAGCTCGATCGCACGGCACACAGTGTTTTTGGAATGGCTGCAGTGATGGTCCTAATGTCTGCTTTGTTCCATCCAGGACTTCCCCCAGTTTCATAAAACTAATGCACCGTTCATGTAACACCGTGGGTGCTTTTCATTATGCTAATGCATCCCCCTCCATTTCCTCACTCCTGTCTCTTCCTTGCATTTCTTACTTACGTCCTCGCTCGGATGAGCTAAGATGCGCGGGAGCGACACGGAGGATGGAGGAGCCAAAGCTGCCAAATCAGAAATCCTTTGGTTCTGTGGTGTCAGTCGGTGACATCAGTCACTTCAGATGTGCTGCATCACCTACCAAACCAACCGGTACTGACGCCCACAGAATTCATTATTTCAGAACTATATCAAAACCTTACAGTGTCTTTATAGATCCACATACAGTAGATATGTCAAGAAATACAGTCGTGATTCAATAATCCGACCCTTAACAATCTGAAAACCTTGCTATCCGACAGGTTTTTATGAAAAACAAACAGAACCCGTAGAAAACAGCCTTAACACACCGACAGCCTTGGATTCCGACTCCAACATGACATTTTATGTCACAAATAAGGATAACGGCGTATTATCTGACTGAACAATCAGACAGATTGGCTACGTTCAGACTGCAGGACTTAATGCTCAATTTGGACTTTTTTGTGAAATCTGATTTTTTGCGAGTTCGTTCACATTTCCAATTAAACGCGACTTGTATGTGATCTGCTGTATGAACTTCATACGACCCAAAAGTGTCCCGCATGCACAGAAGAGGACACGATGACGTCACACACAGCGAGCGTGCTCAGTGTTTAGAGAAGTAAACATGGATGGTAACGATGGAGCGTATCTGCCACTCCCCCGCCGCCACCAATGACGGAAACCGAACTGTGACCACTATTCTAAACTGGCATGTGCATTCCAGCCACTTCCACCCCGTCGGAGCGCACCTCCGGGGTGGAAGTGACCAGAAGTGTTTTTAGAGAACGTCATTTATGATCAATTAAATACAAGAAAAACAACAGTTAAAAGGATGTTGGGCCAGATACGCTCACTTCTCTACACTTTCCTTGTTTTGACGCTTCTGCTGGAGAACACAGCTGCACATGTTGGCTCAACATCTTTGTTGGTTCTTTCTGGTTTTACTGGGTAATTGGACAATTGTGTGGATTATTTATGACAGAATAAAAACCAACCCAACATTCTGTGTGTTTCTCTTCTCCTCACTGCTGACAGCTGACAGCTTTTCAGTAAACTTTGTAATGTTTCTCTGCAGAGAACAGAATAAAAGTTTACATCGGCTTGATGCCACGCTGCATGATGTTGTCAAGTCTTGTATCGCAGCTTTGCTGACAGCTTTTTTTTTGTCTAACTAAATAAGAAAAAGTCTTCTTCCATAGCTGTCGCAGTCCTGTTTTGTCATGCATCACAGTGGATAAAGAACATATTTTTGCCAATTTGCTACTCGCGCACAAACACCTGCGGTGATTTTTGGGAACACTGAATCCTTGTAATATATTCAAACTGGTGGAACAAACAAATATTTGAGAGATTATTGAAATCAGAGTGGCGGGCGGTCTAATTTAGTCATTATATTTGCATCGTGGCTGCTATGATCCAATGTAATATGAAAATCAGGAAAAGGCCAAAGCACTCAAACACAGATTATGGTTCAACATGTCTAGATGAGAGGCAGACTCATAAAAAAAATACATTATTAAGCAGTTGGCTGCTTCCATTCAACCACATATCAAGATATTTGGCCTCACTGACCTTTAGTTCAGTCTGTCCGGTTACGTCCACGTCAGTATTTACATCCATTAGCAAGTATTCAAACCTGTATGCATGCAGGTGTAAATGCATCCATACAGTCAGTGTAGGTGTGTGTTGGTGAGCGTGTCTGTGTAATCGTCCTCACCCACTGCCTTCAGCGAGGTGTACTTGTTGAAGCCGATTCCCAGGTTGTTGTGAGGGTGAGACAGGGCCATGGCGGGACCCAAGGGAGACAAAGCTGCGTTGTTCAAATGGTTATGATCTAAGACAGAGAGAGAGACACACACAGGTAGAGAAATAAATATCAAACAAATATCTGAAAAGTCAATCAAAGGGAATGTCAAATATAAGAATATTCTCGAGAGGGAACTGCAAGATTAGACAATTTGAAGAAAGAGCACAAGTAAACCCTCTGTCACTATCTAAGAGGATTTGTTTTCATCAAAAAATGTTATTGCATTTGTGTTACTGGGCTTTGGACACATTAATACAGATCTTTTTTTCTAGACAGACATCCTTTCTGTGGACTTAGAATTGCAGATGCTCCATTGTGTAAAAAAAAAAAAAAAGGGAACATTTTTGTAACTGTAATGTTCAGAAACTGACCAATACACTCTGAGAAGACAATTTGGTGACAACCATACATTAGAAATGCAGAACAAATGAAATCTTGATTTTAGAAATCGGTGCGATCACATCAAAAACTCCCATTATTTGCAGAAATAAGGCATTCTGCTTAACTGAAGAATGATACAGCAGCTAGAGCTGCATCTAACAAATATGTTAATCTATTGGTTATTTTCTCAATTAATTGATTCGCTGTTCCAGCTATAAAATGTTGAACATTGAGTTTCCCAAAGCCTAAGATGACGTCCTCAAAAGTCTTGTGTTATCCACGACCCAGAGATGTAGCATTTCTGTCATAGAGGAGTAAAACAAAACCCTGAAAATATTCATATTTAAGTAGCTGGGATTGAAAAATGTAGATTTTTGTTCTTTAAAAGTGAGTCAACTTTTTTTGTTTTTGTTTTTGCCATTTTTATACTTTTTTTCGATGTTCACTTTGCACTGTGGGGCCTCGGAGTCTGGCAATGTCCGTTCTCTGTATGTTGTACATATGGCCAAGCTGACAATAAAGCTGACTTGACTTGACTTAAAGAGATGACAATCAACAAAACAGTTGACAATTATCCGAGTAATTTCTGCAGAACCAGCATCCACACAGCATTTTTAACCCTCTAAATAAAACCAGGGGGGATAAAGTAGACACACACTGTCACACACCAGCATAAACAAACACACAAACCCGCGTCCAACCAGCCCCACCACAACTGAAACGCATCAGTGGGAATCAACTAAGGGGGGAAATAGGAGAGAGAGAGCGAGGCAGGGAAGGAAGCTGGAGAGCGAGGAATGTGACACCAGCGCTGACTGATTGAATTAGAACTAGATCTTCACTTCCCCGTGTAATTGATATGCAGTAAGGACACACTGTGTGCGGCGTGCGGTGCAGAGAGGCCCGACTGTGCGTTTGTAATTTTATGCGTGCGTAACTGTGAGCGTGTGCAAAATGTGTTGTCGTCTGGTGCGAACCGCCGAGCCACCTGCTATCAAAAAATAGAGATTTAAAGGTGCACGACCTCAAATCGACCAAAGGAACGTATTAAAAATTGCCCTTCTTATACATTGGGGTTTTTCAGGAATATTTTAGAGCGATTACTTAACATTTAGAAGAAATAGCTTTTGCTCTTTAAATGTCCTACATTGGAATGCGCTGCTCCTCTGGTGAGCCAACAACAGTGGAAATAATGGGAGGCAGAAATGGAGTGAAGAACTAGAAAGGCAGAGAGAGAGTTGAAGGCAGAGATAGACGGCGGGGTGGTGGGAGGGGGGGGAATCAGCTAATTGATGGAAAGATCCCTGGCTGGTCTCCAGTTTGACCACAGGGCTGTTCCCGGCCACCAGAGAGAGAGGGGGAATGACAGAGAGACACAATCATAGAGAGGTTTTGAGAGGTTTTTGTTGTGTTATTATAGCATGTAACGGTGTGCACACCAGCATTGTCCTGTTTCTGCTTTACCAGTTTGTAGCAAGCTGCTTCGGCAAAGCCTAAAAACAGTCATGCTAATATATTAATTGGAACAGGGCTTATGAGATATGGAAGGCATGGTTTAGTTGATGTGGTTTCAAGCTGTTTGTTTAGATGATAAATCATTCGTCTTTGACTTTGAGTAGCTGTTGGTGTGGTTGGAGAGAAAAGCTATTTGTACATTACTGTTGAAGGAGGTCATATGAGCTCAGAAAACATGTACTGAACCTAATAAGTCTGGAGAAAAGATCCACACGGATTTCTGTTATGGACAATTAATGTAAATATATCTCAAACACAAACCAACAAACCAGTCAGCCATAACATTAAAACCGACATGCTTTGTAAAATAACTCAGTGCAATGTTTTGCTGTAAAACCTTGGGTTCTGGAATCTACATGGATTAGATTGACACATACTCCCACCAACCATCTGCTCCACTGCAAAAACTGCTTTAAAACGACTCCAGGAACACGGACAAAGAGCCCAAAGTGTTGACACTATATGTCCAACCTCCAAGATCCCGATCTGATCCGTGACGTCCACCAGAACAAGCCCGATCCATGCACTCATCCCAACTCACAACCAACAGGATCCAAAGAATCTGTTGCCAACATGCCAGACACCACAACGTTTCAAACCAGGAGTGTTGCTAATGCTCAACATTAAAGAATTAAAGGGACGTATGATCTTTCTAATGGTACGTGTCCACAAGATCTATAGCTTTGACGTGTTCCATTCCTTTTTCGACCAGTTTTAGGCTAGAAATTTTTCTATGGACCGGTCATTGCACACATAACAAAAAATATCAATTTTTTTCTATTAAAAAGTTTCACAAATGAATAAAATTACTTGCTAAATATGTTATGTTGGCACCTGTTATCACACCACCTAGTGGCCCGCTAGTGAATGCACATCAAGCGTGCCATGTTGGGAAACAGGTGTAAAAACAGCTCAGGGGTTAATCTTATGGTTTAGTTTAGGAAACAAAACCTTTGGCACTTCAACTGCAATTCTTCAGCTTGATTGAAGCTGCATTCACTGTTTTTTGTTTTTGAAAAAAAATCATTATAAGCAGCAAAATTAGCAGTAAACTCAACATCAATATACATAAAGTGTTGTTAAATTGGCTTATTTACACATCAAGAAGGTGTGAAGCAACATTAGCATTCATTTGAAGTTGTTTTTTGTCCACTGGATGAATGTAAATCCAGCGTTCTGTCTCGTTTCAGCTCTGGTACCATCTCCTGAGGCGAATATTTGTCTGTTTTAGCAGCTAAATGCTTCACTGTGTCCAACAGCCAGTTGCTTACTGCAGACAGTGGGACTGTAGAGATGATGTTTTTTTTTTTTAAACTAACATCAAAACAGTAAAGAAGCAGGTTGGGAGGGAGCAATCGGCTGAAAGAAGGTTTTAATTATAATTATCAGTGGTTTTGTCCGTACGCTCTAAACATTGCATATAAAAATACATCCATCTATTGATTTAAACACTCACTAAACATAATAACCTCACTGTTGGGGTGTAAAATGTCTTGGGAGCAGCAGAGTTAGAAGTTCCTCCAACTGTTTCATCTTTTCACAAACAAGATGTATTTCTCATATATATTTCCATTTTGTTCATTATTTCTGAAATGTTAGGTCCCCAGCTTGTTTTTATGTGTAATCCAGGATCCTTCCTGTCTCAGTCACTTTGGTAGTATACCATATAAAAGTGTGAGAAAGAGCGATATAGAGAGAGAGAGATTGAAAAGGAATAAATTCTGTCCTGTAGTCTGTATTCTTGAATAAATTCTCTCTGTCCTACATTTTCCCTGCATGTGTGTTCACGAGTGTGCGCATGTTTTTGATGTGCTATAGTATGGAGGCCTCAGAGGAGCAGCACTCATAAGAATTCAAATTTATGTTTATTAAAGAGAAGCAGAGGAAGAAAATGAGGACTTACGGTACATGAATGTAACTCACGGTGTGGATGTAGGGGCGGAAAGTGTGAGGGAATGTTTGCGGACATGTTTTAGTGCTTATTATTTTAAGTATTGTTGCATGGCTTCGTGTGTGTGTGTCCACTACTTCATAGTCTGCATGAGCATGCGTTCCTGCCAGCATGCATTTGTTTTGGTTTTGTATGCGTGTGTTTGCACTTGTTTGTGTTTGTGAGTGTGTTTGAGCGGGCAGGCAGGCAGGCAGGCAGGCAGGCAGGCAGCAGAGCACCGCTGGGTGATGGCCTAATTCAGCAGGGCTCAACATCAAAGAGGCTGACTGCTGCAAGGGCTTCAGCCAGCCTTACTCTGACATGACTACTGTCACACACACAGTGAGAGGCAGAGAAATGGAAAAAGGAAGAAAAGGAAAAAGAGATGCAACAGCGAGGTGGGAGAGTCCTGTGTTGTTTAATGCATGCAGTGCACTGTAAAACAGAGTCTGTTGTTTCAGCTTGAAAGTGAGAGCGAGTGAGGGTTTCTCTGCAATTTTAAATCTTCTACTGACGAAAGATGCATTTTTGATTAAACGTGGCACTTTGTTGTTGAACTCGCTTGTGGTTTTTAAACATCTGAAAAAAATAGACATTTGAATTTGAATTAACTTGAAATTGCATAACTTGCATGTTTGTGTTCATGAACAAAGATTAGTTAAGTCCATTTAATTCCCGCACTAAACTCGAAGGGGGATGTGTTTGAGTCCCCACGCAGGCTGAAATGAATGCACTTATGGTACTGTAGGGCACAGTGGGTGAGGGTTAGGGTTAGTGGCGTATAAGTCACATCACTTCATGTAAGTGTATGAAAGAAGGAATGGGGAGGGAAAAAAACCAACACGGACTGAGAGGGCAGAGCAGGTCAGAGGAGGCTGTGAAGTCTACTTCATGACATGTTGGAAAATCATCTTTTGGTTCTGCTATGGATATTATACACAGAGGAAGAATACATGTTCCTAAAGCAACACACCAGATGTTTGGGGTTATTTGGCCAGTGAGCACGTTAGATTACTGGAGCAGAAGCTACGAAATCATACGTGTCCTCACTCACTGCAGGCAATCTCAATTATCTGACATGACTGATAGTTTAAAATCTCGCATGTGCTTTCTTGCTGAGAGTTATGTAGCTAAAGATGAAGGTAGGCTATAGGCAGGGGTGGACTCTTGGCCAGCCAGTAAAAAGTTAGGAAACCAAATT